CCAATGGCATTTTATGTAATATCTTGTAAAATCTGAGGGTAAAATTCACTGGACCCATCCGATAAAAGCTTGTCGTTTCTCGGGGGATCTGAGAGGAGAGAGCATCGAGTTAATAGCTTTTACACGCTACTCGAAGTTTTCTCGTACGATTCTTAATAGCCGTTGGATCGCCTTCCCTTGTTACTTATCTGGACTTCACGATTCAATCAACGGTCAGGAAACGCATTTGCCAATGGTGCCGTTGTACATGAATAGTTCTTCGAGTAAGACAGCTGGCAGCTAGAGATTCCGCGCCGATAAACTCGACAAAAAATGGAGCCGGCTAAGTAGGACCCACATCGTCAAGAACTTATAATAAGTAGAGTAGCTTATCAAAATAGCTTATCATAGACTTCCTCAACCTCTCAGTGATAAGCGGAAGAAGTTATCATCCCTTTTATCTGTCTCCTCTTCTTATATAAATCGCCATTTCTGCAAGTTTTAATGTTCGTATATATATATATTATATAGAGAGAGAAAGTTTGTTTTACACAGAGAGAAAGAGAGAGAGAGAGAGGCAGCTCGGGAGGGAGAGAGAGAGGGAAACAATTCTTCTTCTCTTTCGTTTCTAGAAAGAGAAAACTTGTTCTACGTAGAGAGAAAGCTTCGGTTAGCTCTCTATCTCGTCATCTGAAATTGATCGGTTCTTTGTTTCAGTTACAAGGTAAGCTTCTTAGAAATCTCTCTCTTTATGTTATTATAGAATCATTACTTTAAAATTTTTATTTTTCTCTTATTATTTTTTCCGCTCTTTTATGCTTGACCTGCTTTTTTTTTTATTTAAAAAATTTTCGTGTAGCTCCTTTGCTTTTGCATCTGCGAATCCTACATGGTATAAAGCTGCTTTTGCTTTTCTCTTTGATCCCTAAAAACCAAAACCCTAAATTTCAACCTTTTCAGCCCGATTTAAGTTTATCTGTTCTGCGTATTCTCAATACATATAATAATCGTGTACAGAAATGGTGTTTTTTGGGATATTGTCTAAGATTGTTTACTGATCTGGTTACAGGTAGAGTTCGAAGAATTTCTGTTATTTTTTCTCATTTCAAGTTTAATTGTACTTTTAACTGATTTTTTTCTTAAATTTTGTGTATTTTTTTAATAATTTTGTAGATCTAGTTATATATTTGGTGGTTTTCTGCATTTGGGATCGAAGACGGGGTAGAACGATGTCGTCTCTCAGTAGAGAGCTGGTGTTCTTGATCTTACAGTTTCTTGATGAAGAAAAGTTCAAAGAAACTGTTCACAAGTAGGCCCACCTCTTCCTGCGACGAGTTTTCTTTGGGGCTAATTTTAACATAGTGTTATTTAAAAAAAAATTACTCAGTGATTTGCCCGCTAATTCCCTTTTTTCTTTTTTCAAAAATAGGCTCGAACAGGAATCAGGGTTTTTCTTCAATATGAAATATTTTGAGGATGAAGTGCATAATGGCAATTGGGACGAGGTTGAAAGGTACCTCTCCGGTTTCACAAAAGTGGACGACAATCGTTATTCAATGAAAATCTTTTTTGAGATTAGGAAGCAAAAGTATCTTGAGGCATTGGATAAGTAAGTGATCATTTCTAATTTTTATGGATTTTTCAGTTGTAACTGTCATGGTAGTTTACTGTTTACTCCCTGGCAAAGAAGAACTGATAAGAATGCGAGTGTTGTATCATTAACAGGCATGATCGATCGAAAGCTGTAGAAATACTAGTAAAGGATTTAAAGGTATTTGCCACATTTAACGAGGAGCTTTTCAAGGAAATCACTCAGCTTTTGACGTTGGAGAATTTTAGGTAAGAAATTTGGTCAATCAAGATATAACTAAAATTATCATGAATATTGAATGTAAGTTGTTCTACTTTAGGGAGAATGAACAGTTGTCAAAATATGGAGATACTAAATCCGCAAGAGCAATAATGTTGGTTGAGCTCAAGAAACTTATTGAAGCGAATCCGTTATTCCGTGATAAATTGCAATTTCCTAATCTTAAAAATTCAAGGCTAAGGACTCTTATCAACCAGAGGTAACACTTCTATCTTGCCATATCATTTTATTCAAATTTGTTGGTTGGTTGCTAGTCTCAATGCATTGTAAGGCTGTGTATTCTCTGGCAATGGCGATATCATTTTTTGAGAACCTTTTGTAATGAGTTCTTCAGCATGCAATCTGGGTTTCAACGTAAAGGTTGTAGGAACAGAATGGTTTCATCAAATCTTACTAAAACGCTGACCATTTCTTTTTGGTCTTCATTGACAGAACATGCACTTCGCATTTCATTTATAACATAATGGCGGTTGCTTTTATAAGTTGCGGTAGTTTTGTGTGGAAGGATTTTTGTTTTCTAATATCAGTTACAGCTTGAATTGGCAGCATCAATTGTGTAAGAACCCACGCCCAAATCCAGATATCAAAACTCTATTTGTGGATCATTCATGTGGGCAACCAAATGGTGCAAGAGCACCATCACCTGCAAACAATCCACTGCTTGGATCATTGCCAAAAGCTGGGGGTTTCCCTCCTTTAGGTGCCCATGGGGTGGGTTTCAAACCTTTTTGATTTTGTTATTAAGTTTGTTTCCTAGTTTCTTATAATTTGCTTACTTGTGTTTTTACTTCATCAGCCATTCCAACCTACTCCTGCACCAGTTCCAACACCCCTTGCGGGTTGGATGTCTAATCCTTCCACTGTTACTCACCCAGCAGTTTCTGGAGGGGGAGCTATTGCTCTTGGTGCACCATCAATTCCAGGTACGATCTTCCTTTATGTTGACAGAGACCATTTGGTTTACCTTTGCTGTGATTATATCTCATGGGTAATTCTATTTCTAATTTTCATATGTTGCATTAGCTGCTTTGAAACATCCAAGGACTCCACCTACAAATCCTTCTGTAGATTATCCATCTGGCGACTCAGATCATGTTGCAAAAAGAACCAGGCCCATGGGGATTTCAGATGAGGTTGTCTGGCTTTGCTCTCTCTGCACTAGCCTATCCAAATATACTGCTGGCATCAGTCTGTGTTCTTCTGTTACACTGATTATGACATAGTTTTCATAAGCTGCATCTGTAATTATCTTTCTATACACTGTTACAGAAGAAATTAAAAGTTGTCTATTATGCAGGTAAATCTGCCTGTTAATGTGTTGCCAGTGACATTTCCAGGCCATAGCCACAGTCAGGCATTTAATGCACCTGATGACTTGCCAAAAACTGTAGTTCGCATTTTGAACCAGGGTTCATCTCCTATGAGCATGGATTTTCATCCTCTTCAACAGACTTTACTCCTAGGTCTTTTCTTAGAAAAAATTGCTGTGTGATATATTTTTGATCTGTTAAAACTCTTAGGTTCTGGCAGTTCAAAAATTCAAATAGACTGCTGATTGTTTTTGTCACAATAACGCAGTTGGCACCAATGTTGGGGATATAGCCTTGTGGGAAGTTGGTTCTAGGGAACGCCTGGTTCTAAAGAACTTCAAAGTTTGGGATCTTAGTGCATGTTCAATGCCTCTGCAGGTGCATCCCTCCTTACCTTATTGGTGGTACCAGTTACTGTTATTCTGGATGCTTAGTGCTTAATACTTAGAGCTTTCAGTATTAGGGTTCTGAGAATCAAACCTTTGTGTGTGGAATTCAGGCTTCTCTGGTAAAAGATCCTGGTGTATTTGTCAACCGCGTAATTTGGAGCCCTGATGGTTCCTTGTTTGGTAAGCTTAAACACATGGAGTTCCTTTATTGTTACCATTGATAAGGAATCAGTTGTAATCAATGTGTCTCTTCTCTTCCAATTGCAGGAGTTGCATACTCAAGACACATAGTTCAAATTTATTCTTATCATAGGGGTGATGATGTGCGGCAGCACCTAGAGGTATTGTAAGATAATTAATATAAGAATACCTGATTAGACTTAGCTTTTGACATTGTATTAATAGGGACCTTAAATTTCTGGTCTAGATTGATGCTCATGTGGGAGGAGTAAATGATCTAGCATTCTCAACTCCAAACAAGCAACTTTGCGTGATAACTTGTGGTGATGACAAGACCATCAAGGTTGCTTTCTCATATTATTTGTTTGTTTTTCTGATTCTCAAACCTCTTTGGGGGGAAAAGGTTCATTTCTTTGGTACATTTTATTTCATGATTTTAGGTGTGGGATGCTGCTACTGGTGCGAGACAGTATACATTTGAAGGTCATGAAGCTCCAGTCTATTCTGTCTGCCCTCACTACAAGGAAAACATTCAGGTTGCAA